AAGGTACAGGAAGATGACCATATGGCTTAAGAGAAGTGAACAAGGAGGTAAAAGGAAGAGATAAAGCTGGAGAGTTAGGCGGGGGCCGGCTCATAAGAACCTCAAAACCATATTTACAAGCAGGCTGCTGTGTGTAGAATGGATTGCAGGGGGAGAGAATGGCAGTAAGGAGACCAGTGAGGAGGCAGTTAGGTGAGAAAATGGGTGACCACATAATCTGTCCTCCAAACCAGGACATTTGCGCAGGTGAAAGGGGGTGCTACAAACAAGTCATCAGGGACAACAGGCACAGCCAGGACTTGCCATTGCCAGATCTCTACCTGCCGTCAGCAAGCTCCAGTCAGGATTGTCACAGGAAGTTCAGCAGTTTTTAGCAGTTCTGCTCTGACACAGAGCTCCCAGCTCTAGGAAAAGAATCACTTTTCTATTTGGCCCCAGGCTCCTGGCCTGGTGCCCCATGCCTGAGCATTTGGTTTCTGTCTAGAGGCCATGGGTTACAGTTGCAGCACATCCATGGAGCGTGCCCTTTTCCCTGTGTGTTCTGGTGTGCTCTGGACGACAACCAACAGTACACAGATGAAAGAACAAATGGGGGAGAGGGGCACCCGGGGGGCTCAGTCGCTCTTGATCTCGGCTCAGGTCTTGATCTCAGGGTCATGAGTGAGGAAGGTGAGGGCTCCATGCTAGGCATGGAGCGACTTAAAAAAAAAAAAAAAAAAAGGAAAAACAAATAGGGGAGATGTGGCCACCCCTTCTGGAGGTGGTGTCAAAACAGTGGAAGCCAGAGAGGGATGGACAAGCTCTAAGGGGCAGAAAGGGGATTCTTAACTTGGCCCTCAGGGGGGTCGGTGAAGCAGGTGAGAGGGCCACAAGCTTTCACCGGATTCTGAAACCTAAGACTCCAAAAGACGTAGAGAACCTCGCTTTAGAGAGCAGTGGCTCTCCCACTTCAATGTGCCTTACGGTCACCTGGTGGGCTCATTACAACAGGGTCGCTGGGCCCCTGAAGAGCAAAGCTAAGGTTCTGATTTGGTTCGTTCCGGAGTTAGGCCCAGGAATTTGCATTTCTGACAATTTCTAAGGGAATGCTCATGCTCTCGGTCCAGGGGCCACACTTGAAGAATCACTGTTATAGAGGACACAGAACACATGAGGGGTTCCAGTTTAAATTGTGAACTTCTCTTTTCAGACAAGAGTTCTAACAGATGCCACAGCCATCTAAACCACCCCAAGTCCCCAGGAATTTCAGATTTTATTTTTGGAAGAGGCCCCTGGAGAGTGACAGACTCTGGACCTCCCCTTGGAGGTCAGGAAGCATCTGGAAAATAGCATTTTAGAGGATGCAGGATGCCTTCAGAAACATAAAAGCCCAAGCATAACTCCGAGCTAGAAACTACAGGACTAGCCCCGGCTGATCCAATTACTGGGCCAATTACTGGTGAATAGTGAGGTTTTGGGAATCTGGGCAAACCCGGATCCTCTCCTAAAGGCTACCTCCTGATCCTTTTTGAGCCTCTATCTGAAGCCAGATGGGAAACAGGACAGGGTGTCTGCTGGGGGCTATAATCCGGGAAACAGAAAGAAATCAACAACTCCACTAGACAGAACTCAGGGGCTTCATTCACAGAGCTCTTTGATCAAGTCATTGTGGTGAGGATGGGAAGAGGCAGGAAGAGTATTGAGGGCTGTGCTTACTTTCAAAAGAGCAGTGGAGAGAGAGGCCTGGAAAGGCCACTGCCAGCTTCCCTCAGCCCTGCTCTGAGTAAGTCACTCCCCCATGAAACGGGAGGGGAAATGAAAATGTGGATTCATTCAGGAATCAACCTTCAGAACAGGAAGTGTGGCTTTTGAGCTATACAGGGAACATAAGCTTTGCCATCCAGCTAAGTACATCCTGAGGTAAGGCAACATCAAAGTCAGGGGGACTCTACAAGTTAGAAGAGGAGGCAGAACCTTATAGGGAAGACAATACACTAGAGTGACCGAGACCAAGGGTGTGCTCTGGCACCAGCCTGCCAGGACTTGTGACTCGAATTCTGACTGTGTGGCCCTGGGCATGTTACTTAATCGCTCTGTGCCTCAGTTTCCCTCTTCTGTAAAATGGGGGTAAACAAAAGTGCCTATCTCATAGGGTTGTAGTAAGAATTAAATAAAATAATCTAGATAAAACACGTAGCTTGGTACCTTGCATATTTTAAGCATTCAATGTTAGTTTAAAAAAAAAAAGTAGTGGGCTTGGAAAAATTTACGATGGTAGCAGTACAGACCCACCCTTAGTGTCACTGCCAGAGACAGAAAAACTGGAGGCAGGTTAGACCTGCTGCCAATCCTCCCAGGAGGATGACAAGGAAACTCCTGCTCCTTGGGGGAAGGTCTAAGGTGTGAGCTGGGTATGCGAGGAGAGCCAGGATCCCTAGGACAGGGGCTGGGGGGGCGTGGGGGGGTTAAGTGGGTAACCCCATGGGCTGTAAGGTGGGGATATCCTGCTCTTTTAAACATTGCAACATTCACTGACTCTGTTTTGTGACATTTCCTCACTGCCAACCTAAGTGTCAAATGGCCCAATTGGAACAAATCAAAATAAATAAAAATCATTATTAGGAGAACTGGGACAACCTTACTGTAAACACTCTGGAGATCTGCAATATGAGGGTAGAATCCCCATTTTAAGAGGAAAAAATAGTGGCTCCTCCCCCTCAAGTTCCAGAAGCATGGGGGATGGTGAAGTGAAAGCGGTGGTGATGTGTGCCAGCCCTGAGGTTAGCTAGCAGTCAAACACCGAAAAAGAGAACTCTTCTTTCCTCTGATCCTGAATGAACCTCTTCCAAACCCTGTACTCGCAATCAAAAAGTCCTGTCTGCTTAGAAAGACTGGAACTAGGAACAAAGAGATTTCTAAAAATCATGCAAAAGAGCCAAAGTAAATGACATACCACATGGTTAAATACAAGTTAACATCTATTAGAGGTGAGGGTGGGAAGAGTTTGCCAATTACATCACTTTAGAAAACAAAGAGCTAAATAAAAATGACAAATCATTCTGTTGAACATGCTGGGCCCCTTTCTTGAGGGTCTCCCTCCCTGGCACTATACGCCTTGTCCTGTAGTTCAGACCTACCCCAAGTCTGTATACCCTGGAGCCCTGCTCTTCACTACTTGCTCTTCAAAATGACTACAGGGCATATTTTATCATATTTTATCATAGTCCCATCACGAGTCTTTAAAAGAATAAGGTCACAGACAGTGAGGAAGGGGCTTCTGACTTTTCCTTCCCTTATACTTACCACAAATCATGGCTAGAATTTCCACCTCAAGCTCCTATAACTAGATAGCCCAACTCTTCGAAAGGGATCCAAGGGTTAGACTGATTCCACCTTGAGCCCAGAAGGGAATCTGGTTTCCTTTTCAGGAAGTACCCACCTGTTCTGTGTGTGCCTCCCAAATCAGAGGCCCTGCAGAATGTAGGGAAAACTTTCTTTGCACCCCACCTACCTCCTCCAAACAGTGAAACCCTCAGCTTTAAGTTTTCATAAGCAAAGTTTCTGCATTATTTTTATTGGAGTGGCGGCTGTCAGATGTAGAAGCTAGTCCAACAGCTAGTCTGCTGTTCTCTACAAAGGAGGGCCACTTTAGCAAGAGAAAACCAGTAACAACAATAGCAAAACCTTCTCGGGATTCACCCAGGAAAGCCTGGAACTGTAATACTATGATCTTGAGATATTTTTATGGCCATATATCAGTTTTTAGAATATAATAGTCACATACATTTAAACACACTGAAAAATTTTCTATGGTGTGACTTTTGCAGGAACCTTGTCCCTGCAACTACTTGTTCCAAGCCTCCTTCTATCCATCCTGGAGGTAAATGAAAGCATCAGCAAAAGATAAAATGAGGAGAAAGCAGAAATAAAACTTCCAGCTCTACTTCTAAAGGTTGGGGAAAATGTCATGCACATAAGGCCTCTACTGGTTTTTGAATTAGAGGATAAAACTGGGATTTTTTTGGTCTAATAATCTAATCTTCTGTACGAAGACCCCATTAAAACTATTCTGAAGGATCACACTTGAGCCACATTTTCATTGGTAACTTCATTCTCTGTCTACCACTCCACTAACTAGAAAAGCAGTTCTGAAAGGATCTTTAAGCACAACCGCTATTTTCTGCAGAAGATTCTCTTCAATGTTTTGTCATGCACTCTTTGGTAAGTCTTCCACTACCTTAAGCCAACTTCAATTTTAAAACGAAAGAAAACAAAAAACCCTTCCATGGGAAAGGGACATGATTTATGGGAAAACTTTTTCTTTTTCCTCAATTGTGATTGGCTAGGTTAACCATCATACCATCAGAGAATTTTAAAAAACTGACTCAGGGGCACCTGGGTGGCTTAGTCAGTTAAGCGTCTGCTTTTGGCTCAGGTCATGATCCCAGGGTCCTGCTAGGTGGGGAGCCTGCTTCTCCCTCTCCCACTCCCCCTGCTTGTGTTCCCTCTCTTGCCGTTTCTCTTTGTCAAATAAATAAAATCTTTAAAAAAAGTAAATAAATGTCTTTAAAACACATTTATTTCTAAAGATTTTATGTGAATGACTTGCCTATCTTTTTGACTTTTTTTTAAGATTTTATTTGAGAGAGTGAGAGAGAGAGAGCACAGGAGCAGGGGCAGAGGGAGAGGGAGTGGGAGAAGCAGACTCCCCGCTGAGCAGGGAGCCCGACCCGGGGCTCCATCCCAGGACCCTGAGATCAGGACCTGAGCCGAAGGCAGACACTTAACGACTAAACCACCCAGGCGCCCCAATAAATGTGTTTTAAAATAAAATAGAAAATAGAGTTTTCCAGTGCGAGAGAGCACACTTAAAGCTTGCAGCCAATTAATGATCAGGCAAGAATACCTGTTACTGAGTCCTAAAAATGGTTTCCATTGATCAAAACAAAACAAAACAAAAAAAACGCAAGAGCAACCAGATCCCCCCAAAGACACTGAAACAAAAGACTGATCTGTTTATATAGTCACATGAAAAATAAACATCTTTATTTTTTTGCCTACTTTATTTCATTTTTTTCAAATAAAATTTAAATCTGTACAAAGTATACTGTTACAGTATATATTTTGTAAGAATCAATGCCTAAAAGAATCACAATACTTCAATAAGCAGTACAGCAGACCTCGCTAGTTTCAGCTTTGATATTGAACAAACTCAAGCCGGCTGATGCACAACACATTTGCTTGGTTTCCACATGGTGAGTTCCCAGCACTGAGATGGGAGAACATGACAGCAAGTATGGTTATATTACAGCCCGACACACTGCGCTTCTTCATGTGATAATAACTGCACATATTTAATACAGAATGCTCAAATTTACTTTTTAAATTGCATTTGCTTACTTCTTAGTTGGCAAAATTCAGCATTCTTAATGGGGTCCCCAAACAGTGCAAATTAATGATATTCTACTGTATAATTGGCACATTTCCAATAAGGATTAACTTGTAAACTCAAAGAATATCACAACTTTGTCCTAAATTTTAACTAATATACATCTGGTCCATTTAACCAAAGTGTTTGGAAAGATATTAAAGAACAATTCTATTTTTGAAAGGATACTGTTTTGACCATTCTTTAGAGAAGTAAATTTTTAAACTGTCATTAAAATGTTTTACTATAAAAATTTTACAAACTTGATTAGAAATTTCAAGATTATGATTCACAGCAGACAAATACAAACTTTATATTCCAACAATACCTACTCTTAGACTTTCAAACAGAGTACAACCATGTCAGCCGTGTTAACTAAAATTCTGAACAGTGTACTAAATTTATAAGTGGTGCTGGGTCTAGCAAGTGTAAATACACAGTATATTTTAATGAAAAGAATTGTCTTCTTTATACTTTATTTGTTTTCCCATAAGGAAACATGAATGTTTACATTCTTTAATAAAGTTAATCTTACATCAGAATATAACTTAATACTGTCAGCAACAGGGACCACACACAGTAAATAAGAAGCACATTTAAAATAAGTCTGAATTCACATAGATTAACATTTGTTGGTTAATAAAATATCGACAGTATTACAATCTTACAATATTTACAGTAAGAAAAATCTAGAGTAATATATACCTTTCACAGCAGGATTCCTTTTTTTTTTTTTTTTAATTATTTCTTCCAGTTTGGGATTGTGTATACATGAAAAGCTCAAATAAAGCAACTCTGCAATATAATCTTAAAATAATGGCTACTGGGGGGAAATTCTATCACAACCATTGAAAATAATGGTGACTTTTCACGGAGTCTGTGGCATCTGAGAACCCAGTTAATTAACCAAAGTCTTGCCCCAACCAGCCTCAGTTACCCAGATTAAAGCTGCAGAACTCCGGCCTTCCCTGACTGCTGAAAACCCAACAGATTTTCTCAACGTGCTATAAGAAAAGAGGGAAATAGGTTTCAATTCACACCTCATGGCTGGAAGCCTCTGGCCAGTGCATATTCTCCAACTTATGCTAAAAGGGCCCATTTCACCTCCAAAGCAACACAAGAGTTCCCCTCTAACTACAGGGCACTTTGATATGGAGCTCACTCATTCCTCAACTCTTGTGCATTAAAATAAGGCATGAACATGGCCCATATAATACACACCAGCATCTTACTTGGGACCAGGGCAAAGAAACAGACTAATGCAGTTTGCACTGAGGTCAACAGGGAAAATGGGAAGCGATGCACATTTCCAATTAGAATGGCAAGAAGAAGACCCACATCCCTAAACTGGAATTTGGCCAGGGCCTCAGAGTTAGCACCCCCTCTCTGAGTACCACAAGCGATTAGGATGTGTGCTCTGGGCCTCCTCTAAGAGAGAGCATCTACAGTAAGTAACACCATGTGGGACATTAGTTCAGTGATGACTCCCAAGAAAACAGATACAATTCTTGAATCTGGGGCTGTCCACAGCACCTGAGGTCACTCATCTGAGCTGTGACCTGTCCCAACCCTGCTTACTTTAAGAGATCTGATGGGCACAGAGCACTCAGGGATATGGCTGCTGGCTACTTTGGACTCTAGATCTCACAGGTAATCAACAGGTATCTGGGATTGAATTAGCAAACTGTACCATAGCTCCTTAAACAGACACTGTCAGGTTTGAAATCATGTCAAGCATGAATCTTCACTGTCAGGTCAGAAATCAAAGTGGGTATCTTCCCACATCAGCCAAGGTTATTTTGTCAAAACCTTAGAGGAGTTGGACAGTTTTTCATGTTCCAAGTGATTAGTTTACTTATTTCAGTCAAGCTGGATTGACAAACCAGACTGATCTATTTAGTTAGCTTTGTTTTTTTGATTCTTATGTATGTGTTAACCCAAAGCTGTTATATTTGGGCTAAATACACTGACAGAGAAAATTCAAACAACAAAAGTTTTTAGCAAACTTCTGTGGTATTTTCTTTTTGGAAGTCAATGCAAGATCTAAAGGTATTTCTACCCAACAAAGTCTGTTTAAGTGTTTAATGTTATTTCCTTTTTGGTCCTATACAGAATGCTATGACTTCTATATAGGTCTGAATGCTGCTCCATGTAGATTCCTTCTGTATATCTAAAAATATATACTTTTCAGTAGTTCAATACATGGTTAATCTTCCCACAGAGGAAGATTTTTGTAATCACAAGTTGCAAAGTAGAAAAAAATCTCCTTTCTAAGAAAGGAAATATACTTTCCTATTGTACACTTTTGAAGAAGCCCAAAGGCATGCACCAAAAATCATTAATGAAAACTAACACATGCACTAAAATGGTGTAGAGTTAGGACTTAAAGTGCTGTTTCTCAATTTTTAAATTTGGAGAAGACATTTTGTCAGTTACTGACTCAAAGATCTCCCCCCACCCCACCCCACCCCACTCCATGGCATCAAGAGAGAAAAGTAAAAAGTATGCATAAATCTTTAAACTATTCTTTACATAGGGGAAAGGACAGATACAACAACTATCCTATTTATAAACTGGATTTCCAGTTTTAAATAAAACCAATATTTACTGGTAAAAATTGTCAAAGCTAATACATCCAAACAAATGATACTAGTAAATAATGTTCTACATAGAGAATAATTTACTTTGGTTTTATGTACCTTCTCACAAATAATACTGGTGTCCCATACGTCACCAAACTGATGTGTTCCAGCAAAGTTGTAAGGCAAATCTTTTTTTTTTTTTTTTTCCCAGTGACTTCTTTTTTCCTAATAGACAAAACTAAATCTTTTGGTGAGGAAGGGGTTAAGATAATGGCTAACCCCTTGGCATCCTGAGCATTGTGGTTTATCAAACTCTACCCTGCTAGAAGCTGTCAGGCACCCTGACCCCTGCCTTGAACCAGGAATGGCTCCCACGTCTAGAGATGCCCTGACTCCTTATAAATAGCTCTCAGAACATTGCTTCTTTTTTCCTTCTGTCTGGATGTCTAACAAAGCTGGTTGCAATGTCACATTTTGCTAGTAGGGGCCACCATCTAACAATAATTCCAATCTGAAATGTTTTAAGCCAATAGTTAGTTCTTAATTTTATCAATTAATTGCATTAAAATTTCTCTATAGAGTTTACTTAGAGCAGAGATCCTTAACTTGGGTTTTAGATGTGTGATGCCCCTGAGGTTGTATGTAAAATTATCTGTGTATGTGCATTTTTTTTTTTCTGGGGAGAGGGTCCATCACTTTCATCAGATTATCAAAGGTTTCTGTGATCTCAAAAAGGGGTTACAGGGACTTAGAGGGATACCCGTAATTCATTTTATACTAGGGTTGGGAAATGAGGGCAGAAAACTAAAAATGGCCTCAAAAAAAAGGGGCCAAATTGCTGATCTTTTCCCTTTATTCAAATTTGGGAAATAAGTGCTTCAACCTAGGAAAAATAATTAATTAAGCTGATTAAACTCCATTAAAAAATAATCAAAGCCACTTTTTAAAATATTTTCATTTTCCATATATGGTAAGTTTAGTCTCTAAGAAAAGGTTTGGAGACTGAATTTTTCTCTTTTCCCTAAGGAAATTCATAAACACAACGCTGATCATCATCCACATTTAAAGATCTGACAACCTAAAACTTAAGACAACTCTAATACTATAGCCTTTAATTTACAATTTTGAGTAAAGGATTATCTAGAGTCAAATACACATTTGTAAACCTTCATTCCCCAAAACTGGTCTATAGTTAGACAACTATCGGGCACAATTCCACTAGATAAACCTAAAATTTGAACAATAGAAGTTTAACTTTCTATCCCAATTGAAAGCAAAACCACAAGGTTGTACAATAAAGGCCAGCCACAAACATTCACACTATGTCATAGAGGTCAATACATCACTTAATTATCGACAGAATTTGCAAACATGAGATCCAGGATGACTACCAAAACATGCTGAGAAGAGCATGTCAAGAATTAAAACAACACCCTGTGGCGACCCCCCCCCAATAGAGAAACACACTCAGGCATTCCAAAAATAAACCAGATCTAAAGAGAGGCCTCTCACTTGTTAGAAGTATGAAGCGCCCAAAAGGATACGGGAAGGGAATATAAAATGAAATAATTAAATAACTTACAAAAATTAATTTTAGCCAAAACGCATTTCTGTTCTATTGACAAAACTATCAAACTTTTTTTTTTTTTTTTGCAATTTTGAACACTGTGTTGCACAATCTCACTAAGACAAAAAATATGTTCACAGGTACACATTTTGTTCTCCTATTCTTCCTAGAGCACATCTTGAGGTTATAAGAATTCTTCTAGTTAAAATAAAGTCTCTTATCCCTTGCCACCCTCCCCCCCTCAAAAAGTGAGTGAACCTTGAATTCCAAAAAGGAATATTCATTTAATGTAATTATTTCAATACCCAGTTATATCATATAGACCATGATGAAACTCTATGAGCATTATGGAAAACTACATGAAAGAGGGAGCTGCCACTTGCCACCCACTTCACTTCCAGCTTTTTAAGCCAATACCCAGCTAGACTCAGATCTCATTGACTTCAGTGAAAATAAATCAACACTCCAAAACCAGGCCATCTCAGGCTGGAAGCTGGATCTCAAAGACATCGTTTCACATACATATATATATATTTTTTTCTATCCTAAGCTTTCACTTTGTCTATTTAAATAGTTTAATAAAGCTCACATTTACAAAGGATTATATTGGCAAATAAAGGCCCATATTAAAAATTTTTATCAAAACAAATTTTTGTTCTACATAGCTAACACTAAGAAATATTTTCTCGGACTTATAAAGCATATTTAATTGCATATAAGTTTTGCTTTGGGTGGGATATTGAAAACAATTCTGTAAGAAATTAGAAAAGACTAGAAACAAAAGTGAAAGTGACTAGTCTTAACTTTCCCAAAAAATCAAGTGCAAAGATAAATAGTGCAAATAATGAAAACTAGAAATTTTATAGGCAACTTTACATCTTTCCTGCTTTTGCACTTTTACATATTGATAACTTTATAAACCCTAACAACTGTATGCAGCATGGAAATGGGCTATCATTTATCTCCATTGACTAGACTCAAGGAATCCTTTCAAAGGCAGTCATTTAAATCACTGGTTCTTGACTAGGTTTGGGAATTCACTTTTTAAAAAAACAATTCCTAAGGGAGGGGCTATTTAAGAAGGCTCTGCACAGACTTAAACTTAAGTTATAGAATGTAATTGTATCATAATTTAAAATCGGTAGGATGGGAAAAGCATACTGTTAACTCTAAAAAATAAATTATAATAAAAATAATTTTGTTAATGAACTTGGCATTTGTAAAAAAAAAAAGTTACTCTCCAGATACAAAAATCAGAACCTCTTTTTTAGCTATTTAAGAAATTTTATCACTAATGTATACAGATTTGGGTAAAATGAAATAATCTGTCAGAATCACTGAGAATAAGTCCATATTAAACTAAAAAGGAGTCCAAATACACTTGAATTATGTAATTTAAAAAACAAAATATTATAGCAATTCTTTATCTTAAATAATTAAAAATGTTCCTGGGATACTGGGAACAGAAATCTAGACACTATCAGTTCACCCTACAAGGAACATAGGAACTTCCAAGATATACTAAATTATATTATTATTATCTGCCACCACTGAACACTTGGGAATTCTACAATTTTAAAATAACAGAGAAAGTGGGAATACAAACAGAAATTTGAGTTTTGGGAGGTATGTTGTCTAATTTCAGAAATATAGTACTATTGAGGGTCTCATAAGGTCCACAGTCGTAAATGACGGGACTGCAAATGTAAAAGAAATGAAAAAGATACCTAAAATTGCAGTTTACTGTTTTTACCTGGTTTACCCTTCTCTTGTAAGAAATTAATGTGGACCAAAGGCTCAAGGTTCTGTAAAATCAAGGTATGATATGGATCTTTGTGAACTGTAAAATCAAATGATTTGATCTAAGGACCATTTTGAAAAGTAAAGCTAAACTACACTGAAACATGAGCCCAGGAAAATAATCTGTATAGTAAATATTTCTGATAGTTTGAAAATGATAAGTGGAAAAGTTTGAAATTTTCTTATCTTCTTTCCCTCAAAATAGTAAGTCCCCAGTACCAACATGCTTTGACCAGAAAAGCTGTCATTCCACAATTGTGCTACTTAATTTGTCCAGAAAAGCAAATATCCTACACCTGAAAGCAGATTGTATAATGCATCATCATCATCATATCTAGCTACAGACGAACAGCTTTCTCATAACCAACAAGGGACCCATTTTCTCCGGCTTTATTGAAACTTCATTAGTGAAGATCAACTTCATTGTCCTTAGCAAACAACGCTCATTTAAGACTCCACCTTAGTATCTTTTCCTACCTCCCAGTAAAAATTTCTCCCACTTTACCTCCAAACCATTCCCTTATAGAAATAACTCTCATACTCCCATTCATCAACACATTGAACGGTTCTTCCCTTTCTGCTCTCAAATTTCCAAACCAGTAAATCTCAGCCCCCCGTAACTTACCTAAAATACACATACTTCTTACTCTCTTCAATACACGAATTTCTTAACAATTTCAATGCCCTTCAGATTGCCAGTTTATGACTATGGGGGAAATAGCGCTCAGAAAAACTGCCCAATTACTTCATTATACAGAAATCTTTCTGGGATCAGTTAGCTATGTTCTAAGGCAAGAGCCAGCAATTTCTTTACTTCCCTCTTAAAGGGGTAAGTTTCAGTGTCACTGGCAGGCCTATGGTAAGGAGAATAAAGGAGAGAAAAAGAAGGAAAAAAGAGGATGGGAGGAAAAAAAAGCCAAACGTATATGGTAGGGAGGTAGGTCAAATGCCATCAACAACTACCTACAGTGGAAATTGCCAATCCACTCCAGCTGAATCCCAATCCCAACATGTGTCTAATAATTCATTAGCTGATGCCCATCACTGGTTGAGCTAGTCAAGGTGAATACCTAAGTCACCTGTCCCCTAAGTTTGCTACTTCACAATAAGGACACCTTAAGTCCTCTGAGGATCCTTCTGTTTTAATCCAGTTTAGACTAAAACACATGTTAAGAAGAGTACTTCCATGATTCTTAAAATTCCAGAATATAAAGGTTTGGTCCTTGAACTTGGAGGCCTCTTGAACTATTAAAGTGCATCCTAAATCAAGAAAATTAAACTTTTAGCTTAATTTTCCCCATGAAATGCTATAAAATTTTAATTAATAAGCAAACTGCTAATAGTCATCAAAACAAAGTATGCTTTCATGAAAATTCAAAAATCTTGCAATTCCAAAATGAGTAAAATATTTCTGGTCCTTAAAAATTAACTTTATTTTACATAGAGGATCACCACCATGTTTCTACCTATCAAACAAGACAATTTTCCACAAAAGCAAAGCACATCAGGGAAAAAAAAGAAAACAAATACCAAACATAATATGGGGACAAAATAAAAATACATGAATAACTATGATTTTTTTTTAAGAAAAATGTTTCTAACAAACAACCTTTGCCATACTCAGCTTTCCTAAAGACATAAATTGCCTAGACCATTCAACATCAAAACTTGGTAGTCAGTTTAGCAGCTGTAAGATGACAAATAGTTGGCTTGAAACCAATCATATCTTTTACTTTTCACTTGGTCGTTTTTGCATTATGGAATTCTACCTGACATGTTAATGCTAGTTTAGATGATCTTCACTTAACCCATAATAATGAAATTTCTGTTTGAAAAGAGCCTGTCAAATGGCCTAGGCCTTAAATTTAGGTTTTTAGGATCAAATAACTCCCCAAATATTAAAATCAGGTTTTCTTAAAAATATATTGCAAATTCTCTATGGTAATTAATGCAGCTGGGTGAAAAGAGTGATTTTAATAGCAGGGATCATTTTAGTTTCATAGTGTAATCCATTACAAATGGTCTAAATTCAGTTAACGTGCAATTAAAAAAAAACCAGAAATATTATAATTTGATTTAGAAATGGATAAACTTTTACAGAAAACTTTACACAAATAACTTCAGTGAATTTGCTCACCTAAGCAATTCCAATAAATTCTTTTTCCTATTCATTCCACTCTCAGGAAAAAGTATTTATCACTCCAAATTATTAAGATATTCAAATTTAAGGATATTCAGCCCTAAATTGCTGAAGATTCCCTTTTCTTTTTTAGCATCCTTTTACATAGAAAGTAGGATCTCATTCTGATATTGAAAAACTCAGAAAAGGGAAAAAAGTCATTAGATTTGGTATCTCATTTTTTTAGTGGGGAAAAATATTAAAAATACGTTCACATGTAAAATAAAATGAATTGTGGAGCTATGAAAACAACCACAGCAACAATCTCAGAAATCTCCATTCTAAAATCATCTAGATGTGTATGTGTGTGTGTGTGTGTGTGTAAAATATGAAAAAATGAGTGGGAATATTGAAGAAAAGAGAGTGAACCATGTGTGGGAGACAGAAATAACAATCATGCCTATGGTGGGTTCACCATGGCTGGCATATAACCCAAATTTGTCATAAAAGAAAAATATGTTTAGAAAGTTTCAACAGTGCCAAATGCAAAATGTTAAAGCACAGAAACAATGAATGAGATAACCCCCACAAACATCAAGTTTCATACGAAAACAGGAAGAAAAAAATTGACATATGCATCTTTTTTAATATACCAAATCTGAATTGACTTAAACATTATATAAAGTGCTTGGGCCATGGTTACCCACCCAGATTCTCATTATCAACGGACTTATCTCTTCCCCTCCCTTCCACCCAAATTTAGTACAGTGTTCCTGCAGAAAAAGTACAGCATTCCTGTATTAATAAGAATAAGAAATGAAAACAGTGAGTACAACTGATATCGATCCATTGACTTTTATTACAAATGTACTTGATCACTTGGCTTCAAAAAGTTTAAAATCAATACCCTATTTTCTGTATGCCAGTACAAAGCAAACTGTTTTACAAATTAAATACCTAAAAATTTGACAAAAATATTAAAATTTGATGAAAAACAATTATAAAAATCCTTAATCTCTCTCTCTTCAAAAAAGGAGGCAGTCTTCCCAGTCCTATTATACAATATTAATAATATTCACCATTTTTAGAATAGGTAGCTAAATTATATTTTTCTGTTAGCATACAAAACTCTTAGACTAATAGATTTCATTTGTATATGCTCCAGTTAAGTTTGTGAATGCCATCTGATTGCAATATAATCAACTATCTTTAATTGAGTCCTAATTTACACTTATTTAATAATTTGCATAGTTTAAAAGGGATAAAGGTTATTCTACAACTAATTATCATAGGCTATTACAGTGCTATTTTTCAAGGCAATAAGTATTTGCTCCCAAATGAAATTATCTGTCTTCTTTAGGCAGGGGTTAAAATTACTAGCAGCTTTCTCCATTACCTGAAAAATCAAATTGGAATAGTTATCCTTCTCTAGATGTGATGACCTAAAAAACCTACCAATATATTTTCCACTTTGAGTCAAATTTCAACCCCTGCATGGGACTAGAAAGTGAGACTTTCAAGGTTTTTATTTCCCTGTTGGTTTTGGTTTCTACTCTCCATGGCTTTTAGGAAGCTGGGAAAGTTTGTCTTTCCTGACTCACATTGTCTCTCCTTTCCATTTGGCAAATATTCATCTACCTTCAATCTGTATCTAGTAGAGGAAAAGCCGACATGGCTTTTCTTATGAACTTCCTTTGTTGTCAAAGGCATGTATAATGATTTCTACAGTTCTGGTTAGTTAACTTTAGCTCCCTCTGTGGCTGGATGACTGCTGCTTCTAACATCAGCATGATAAATAGGAGGCACAAATAAAAAGTAGCTTAAAAAAAGATTTGGTGATTTAAAAGAAAAAAAAAAACGAACAACACCAAACACACACACATATATGGGCATTTCAAATCTGGTGGCTGATCTCGGATTAAATTACTTGACAGTGTCTCTCATTTTAAAGAATGTCAATATTGCAATGCATTTCAAGTTTTCTTTTATACTTAGGCAAATAATATAGTTTTAACCAAGCTCTTGGACCTTAATCGTAAGACAAAGCAGATCATTAAAAATAAGGCATACTTGTCAGGAATTAAGTTTTGTTTGCTTGTTTTTGGCACATTTGATCATACTGTCTTCTATGAATAACACATATGGTCAAATATACCATCTCCTTTTTCATTTCAGCACAAACAGGGTTTACCAACTAGTAAAATAAAAACAAGGAAAAACTCCAACATAAAACACTGAGATAAGAACCTTGGTAAAGTACCGAGCACCTGGGAGGAAGGGTGAGGAAAGGATGAAAACAGAGGGAAGGGAGGGTTGGGAGGGTGCTTGGGGAGGTAAAGTGAGATGCAAAAAAGAGCATCTTTACAGTCACTTAGTCTTTTCTAAGATCATCTCTTAAGTCTTAAAAGATTTGCATGTGGATTTCTTTTTAAACCCACTGACCATAAATCAGACACTGGTTTCAAAATCTTAGTTAAGATTGTGTTTAACTGTTATAGTGTAAAGACAATTGCACAATACATGTGCTTATTGATCCGGTAGGATTCCAAGCAGAATCTGAAGTCTGTAGGTAAGAAAGGCTTCACTTTAGGTAACTCTGACCCTAAAGAAAACCTCATGAAAGAACTCGCATCTCAAAGAAAGGACACTTTGCCTAAGTTTGCTGTGTTTTTGTTGACTTGCACTACTTATTGCTGGCTACTATGAAACACTGATCTAGGCGTACTCCAACAACCTGTAGTACAAGGCTTAACTTTAAGAAGCTATAGTAAACAAGAGACAAAATCAAAGCAATTCTCTTTCCTAACTAGTAACAGCACAGAGAATGCAGTCTTTTCCATATCACAGTAAAAGTACAGTGAACAAAACAGCTCAACAAACCTTAAGACAAAAAAGTGCAGGTTATTAATGTTTACATGCAGTTGATAAGCATTCCAAATGTCACATTATGCACTGTAAAAGCTCAACTTTACTATATGGAAATAAGAAAAATGCACCTTGGGGGAAGGGGAAAGCAATTTAATAATTTCCAGTGATTTTTGTAAGTAAAGAAATTCCTAACTATTGTACGGTCACCTCATATTTAACATTGTATGAATATTAAAAGCAAACAATTTAATGGGAAAATGCACAGTACAATGGAAATAGCTTGTTATTCAACACATACAGTAGATCTCAAAAACAAAGACAACACACTCAACCAGGGAGCTTAAAATATCAAATCAAAACCCAAAGAACCAGCAGAAAAAAAAAATCCTTCAAAAAGACAACTGTTTCACCTTCCTAGGCCAATGCTTTACAATGTGAGAAGCACTGATACCTTCCAGCTCCTACAGGTGGTGTCTTCTACATACAGCAGTAAGATCTATATGGCTGGATTTGCCAAGAAACAATTCCATCCCCAGAACTCTCTGTATCAGACAAGATCCTTTTTTTTTTTTTTAACCAAAATACTTTCTACAGAATTCCAAACCAAAATGTACTGTTTAAGGCATCTTTTTTTATAACATTTTCTCTTCACTCAAAGATGATAGTCATGCAGCAGTTTAATGATAAAAATATATTAATATTTTACTATACAGCAGCAAGAAGTTAGTTGTCAATTAAAAGCACACAAACATCTTTAAATGAAAACCTGTAAAAGACTATCGTTACAAACAATTTCAGTTTGGAGGACACCAGTTTGGTAAAGTGCTCTCCTAAGCTTTGCATTTTCATACCCTACACCTTGAATATATGAGTTATAGGACATACTTTTGATAGAAGGCTTGTACACTTGGGGAACACAAATACATTTAGCATATAATGTAGCCAGTAATAACTAGCACCACAGCTACATGGAAATCCTTTACACATACCAACTTGGCTTTCACTTTTAAAATGAAACTCAGAATCCATGGCTCAGTAGGATAACTATTAATTGTGTTGCTCTGCTTTTTAACAGGTCTACGTAAGTTAATAGCACTGGCAAAAATCAAAGAATAGCTTCAGACCTCTTACTAGTTTAGGAGACAGTGCTAGTGACC